AACTTAGTTGGAAACCCTGAAGAGCTTAGTAAAACTGCTGAATATCTGAAAAGTGAATTTGAAATGAAAAACCTTGGGAAAACAAAATATTATATCAGCTTGCAGATCAGCATTGTGCTAATGGAATTTTGGCCCATTAATCAAGTTACATTAAAAAAAAAAAAAAATCCTACAATGATTTGGCATAGACAAGGCTTATCCACTCAGTACACCAATGGTCATTTGTTTTTTGAACATTAAGGAAGATCCATTTCATTTAAAAGAAGATGATGAAATGGTTATTCGTCCAGAAGTATAGGTGCTTTATTGTATTTAGCACAATGTAGTAGACCATATATAGCTTTTTCAATCAACTTGTTAGCAAGGTATAGCTTAACTCTAACAATTTATCATTAGAAATGAGTCAAAGATGTTTTACGATACCTTCGTGGGACAACAGACATGTGTCTTTTTTACTCCAAAAAATCCATAAATGACCAGAGCCTTGTTGGATATGCAAATGCTAGTTTTTTCTCTGATCTGTATAAAGCCTGCTCACAAACTGGATATGTGTTCAATTATATAAATACAACAATTTCATGCCACTTAATGAAGCAAACATTAGTTGCTACATCTTCCAATCACTCGGAAATACTTGCTCTACATGAAGCCAGTCGTGAATGTTCTTGGTTAAGATCAATGATCCACCACATCCATAATTCATGTGACCTACCTTCAAAGACACACTCCAACTGTCATTCATGAAGATAATGCAGCGTGTGCTGCCCAAATGAAGGAATGATTCATCAAGGGCTATAAGACTAAACACATATCTCCAAAGTTTTTCAGTGCACATAAGCTTCAAAAAGTTAAAGTTACTGAAGTCAAACAAATTTGTTCCAATGAAAATCTGGCATATACCTATTCATCAAATCTCTACCCAAGTGCACGTTTTAGAAGCTAGTGCATGGCATCGGATTACATCAGCTTACCAATCAGTTAAATTTGAAGAATACGGTATTTTGTTGTTTGTATTGTATCTAATAATAGTAAGGGCTTGAAGAAAACATCTTATTTTGAATATTTTAAGAGCCTAAAATGGATAGTTTGAAGCCTAACTCGCCCACCATAGCCCACAAGTGGCCCAAGATTCGTCAGAAAAGGCCCTCGTAGAACAGCAAACTTTACGAGCTTTGCCTCAAAGTGCTCAGAACAAATTAGAAAATGGACCATATATGGTTGGAAAGCCCTGGAAGTCTTCTTTCTATGGTCTTTACAGCTTGTGATTCAGAGGTTTTTACAAGAAATTATGACAAAATAAAGAGGAGCTGTTCAGTTACAAATTCTGATAAAAGCTAGTTTTTAGTTGTTCCTATACTAAAAGATGGTTGTAATGAGCTGTAAATGAAAGTCAATTCAAGGATGTAAATTTGTTAGATAATAGATAACTCTAAGCCTAATAGGAGACAAATACACAACATCAAAAAGGGGGGAGAGGAGAAAAAAGAAAAAGAAAAAGCAGAAAGACACAAAATCTGGAAAGGAGTAACTAAAATTTTAGGGGTAGCAAAAGCTTACCGAAATTTGGTAAAATTGAAGATGTATACAAGGGGAAAGGGTCACCATAGTGTTAGGGTTTTACCTTACACATGGCAAAATCTTATTGACCAAGGTGTATGGAAAGAATATTCTTCAAGATATTAAATAGGAAATAATATCTTGAGATAATGGTATAAATATCCCTATTTGATTTAAATAGGGATTATTTACTCGAATGAAGTCAATCTTCAATTAGGAATGTATTAAAGATAAGATTTGGGTAATTAATCCATATCTTTAATGCTTTGGCTTTTTCTTGGCAAGGGCAAGAGAGCTATGAGCAGTTGTATTTAGCTATATGGACCTTCTGGGGTGCTGAACTGCACGTGAGAGTATCTGAGAAGCTTGCTAATTTAATGAGGGCAGTCTTATCTTTCTTGAGCAAAAATCCACGTGTCGCCTCTAGAATTTTGGGGATTATATTAAGCCCCACAAATTCCTCACACCCACTCGGTCGCATGTAGGAATCCTAAGCTGCATGGGTGTGTAAAGTTGTTTCCCAATTTGATTTAGATCTCCTTTTTTGACTCGAAAAATGAAACCAACGTTTTTGAAGTTCATTCCCAACCTTCTTATCATCCTCAATCCTTTAAGGCATCAAATACTCATCTTCCTTCATTTCCACTTCCCACTCTATTCTTCTGGTCTTTATTGCTGCCAAGATGCCTGGTATGATTCGATTGACAATAAAATGGTGTGTGTGCATATTTTAGAATATTGGTATGATGGTGATTCATTAGGTTCGATTTCGTCTGACGACTCTAAAGATGGCACTAAAGAAATTTCTGTTTTTGGCTATCCCTTTCACTCTAATGTTGCCACTAAGTTTGAAATCTTCTATTATGGGGGAGTTTAAATTTTTATTAGGCAAACTTGGACCTATTTTGGTTTTGTTGTATTTGAACCTCTCTTCTATTATACTTTGTTTGTGCTACTCTTGGTTTAGTTTTTGTGGGATGTCTTTGAACAAATTCCTTGGGCAAGTTACTTGCTCCAATTGTTTTGGTACTGAGAATTGTACATTTATGGTTTGTCTTGATTATCATTCTTTCATTGTACTTGTGTTATTCGATTGATCTTATAATCTTGCTGCAAAATCATATATCTTTTATGAGTTGTCATGCTATATTGTGAACCTTGTGCTGATATTGGCATTATTCCGCCTTCATCCTTTGTCTTGCCATGACCAAAAAAAAGGGGGAGGGGGGCTGTGGCGGAGATGGGGTATTTAAATTCCAAGTGTACTGAAACTCATGTGTACCTTGCATATTGTATAACCATGATAATTCTTACTTGTTCTTTGCCAAGAGTAGTTATTGTGCATGATTCATTCCTTATTCCTTCTCTTGAGTGTCGGTGAGTGAATTTCATTTTAAATCTTGGGGTGTTTTGTAAAGGAAAGCCAAAGAGGGAGATTGTGAAGTCTAGACTTTTGTGTTTGGCTTTCCTTGTTAACATTGTAATTGTACCACATATACTCTCATTAGTTCTTAGTTATATCTTTAAAGGCCTGTTGTTGCTAGGAAGAAATGTTCAAGTGTGGCACACCACCTCAAAAGGTTTATTCATGCATGTATATTCACGTCTAAATTCATGTTACATTCTGACTAGATTAATTGTCTCATCAGTTTGCGCGCTGATTTTATACGAGCTAGGCACACAAATTAAGACTGTCCACATGAGCTGACTGACACCTTTCTGCTGATAGCCAGGTTTTAACCATTGATCTACCCAAATTGTTTTTTGGGCTAACAAGTGTCCATTATCCTTGCTAGCTGAAAAGAAACAACCCCTTTTGCATAAAACTTCAACTAGGTTTTAATTTTTCTATGGTTGTCCAGATTAATTTTTAGAGAGATAGAGTGCTTTCAAAGCTCTTAAGCTTGCCTCTTCTCGATTTATGGAACCCTAGCTGCCAAACTATTTTTCATGCACACAAATTCCTTATCTTGAGAAATAGGTTTGGATTGTTGTCATGGTCTAGCTTTAAGTTGCAAATACAAATCTTCATTTAGACCTAGTTTTTTTTGTTCATATTGGTTTCTTCCTTCAACTATTTGACTGAAGAAACTGACTGGTCGTTGAATCTAGATTTCATATCATTTTATCACTGTATCATTTTGATTTGTTTGTGTTGATCTTGGTGTGACAATGTGAAAAGTTCATATCTGGAAAGGAGCTAGCGTCTTGTGTAAACTGAAGACGACTCCATCTTGTGCAAAGTAAGGTTGCAAAAAGGTAAATCTGCTATATAGATTAGATCTAGGAATTGAGCTTGTTGTGGTGCTTTGTAAGAATCTTATTTGTACTAGTGGCTTGGACTTAGTGGAAAGTCCCTGGTCTTTTAACCCAGATGTGGGCTTTTCCTTCAAAACTTCTTGTGTTTCTTATACCCCATATTCTACCAAATTTTCAGAGCTTTTGCAACCCTAAAAAATCCCTAAACAATCTACTCTCTCAGAGAAACTAACTTAGGCATCGGAGATCCGTTGACCTAATCCCCCCTCCCCACCTTGTGGGCGTGTGAAGCTTAGGTCTTTGATCAAAGGTGTTGATTGTTTTGCAGGTGCATTTTCGTCAAGACTGAAGAAAGTGGAAATTTGCATCAACAACGTGCATGTTGTACTCTTTTTCCTTCAACTTGGATTTTTCCAACTGGGTTTTTCCTATCAAGGTTTTAACCAAGCAACATAAGCATACTTAACACTATTTAACATTCCATGCAAAGTTGTACTCTTTTTCCGAGCAAGGTTTTGATGAGGCAATTGATGTTGATATGCGGGCATCCAAGAAGGAGTGTTGTAAAAGTTTTGGGAGTGAAGGCCCACATGTTTTTAGTCAAAGATGGAAAGTGAGGAAGACTTAAGAATGTAGCATTTGTTGTTGTTGTATGATGTTTTTCAAAAAGCATTCATTTCACTTTTGTGATTCTTCACAAATATGACTCTATATAAGGAGCATTCCATGTATGATCACAATACATAGAAAAGAAAGGAAGTGAAAGCAATAATATCAATATTCCTTCCTTCCTCTCTTTACCTGCAATCCTTTTGTGCTTATAGTTACGAAAATAAATAATGTGATACATTGCACCCTCTTCGCTTATGTCCCTAGCAAAGGTTATCTCTCTAACTTTTGCCTATTTATAACATTTTTGAAATTTTACTATTTATTGTGTGTTTTTATATACTTTTTTTAGGAAATAATTAGTTACAAAATTTGAAGTCCATTAAAATACATTAGTGTCAATAAGATGAGATGTACAAATTAAAATACTTTGATAAAAAAAAAAAAAATAAAAACTAATAAAATTTCAATCAAACAATATTAATTAGTGATTAAAAACCAGCATCCAAAGTCTTCCTTCTTTATTTGTTAATGAAATAGCATAAACTTTTATTCACTACTACATATACATTTTTGTTCCTTAAACAGATATTGCAAATTAATCTGTGCAACTGAAAATGCCACAAAATTAAAGATGTTTTATTGTTTTTGAGTTTTTCTGCGTAGGAATAGGATATTCGTCGGAGGCTTTGCGTATCATCTCAAATGCATTTTGCATGCATGACTTGAACTTTTGTGGTTCAATGAGGCCCTTTTCCATTTTGAAGGCAACCCTCACCTTTCCCATATAACTTACTATTGTTACGTCAAGCCCCTGCAATACCATTAACACCATGTCATATAATTTCTATGAAGGCGCGCGCACTCACACATTATATGTGTGTGAAATGAGGATCAAGGGATGAACAATACTCGACAAAAATTTGAATTTGGATGCAAAAGAGGGAGCACGATACTGGTGCTAACTCAATTAAGCAATAATCACTAATACGCATGAAAGTTGTACAATATTCCAACCATGAAAATTATATCATACCTCAGGTGAACCAAACACCAGAAAGTACATTCCTTTAACTGGATTATTAGCTAAAGCCATTTGTTCCACAGGGCCAATCAAATTTGAGATCATCATGCTCGTGTTCTTCAGTGTGCTGTGGATGTATCTGGCTGCTGCCTGCACCATATATACTAGCAAAATGTTGAAAATAATTCTACTAATGAAGAAACTGAGAGAGGGGTTGCAACTCTATCACAAACCTCATGGCCTCCAAATTTGTTTAGGAACTCCAAGAACCTACAAGTGAGATAAATAGCTAAAGAACTTCTCTTCCTAGTGATTATTTTTTGTGCTTCCCAGACAAAGTCAAGGGCATTTGAATATTGATCAGCGGGAAAATCATGATCGTGATCTTCGGGTAATGATAAATTGGGGATTGGTACATGCAAGAACGTAAAATGATTCCCCCATGGCATCTTGCTGTCGGGTTTCATCATCTCCTGGATTGAAGTATACTTCCCCATCATTCTCGTGTTCAGCAGTACCACTGCCGTGCCTCTTGCTTTGCTTGAACTTCTGTTTATCTCTTGCATGTATAGTCGAGTGCCAAGGAAGATCATACCAGCAAGAACATCGTTTACCGTCTGTTAAGTGTCTTGCTAATTAGTAAGTAATTAAATAATTAATGAAGGAGTGAATCAAAGGGAGAAAAACTTGGGGTGAGTAGTAATCCCTAATATACATGGCAGGTGACATGACAGTTCGGTTAAACATGTCACCATTTGCAATATGAAATATTACGTAACGTGTCTAGCAATCATGTGTCTAAATAACATTACTCCTAATTAATCAATTAAACGCACAAGTATCTCAACACATTTTGATCGTGCTTGAAAGAAAAGGTTTATGATCAGAATAAAAGATTGTATGAAAACAGATAAAAAATCACGAAGAAAAACCGTACCACTCCAAGCTTACTCTTGATTGATTTGATTTGATCAAGAGAGAAAGTCATAGTTGCCACTGTAATGGGCTGAAACTCAATTCCATTGCCAGACCTAATTGGTGATATATCATCTTCCCCCACGGTGCTCCTCCAAATATCTGAAAGAGTGTTGAAGACTGATGAGATAGTTCTAGACAAAAAGCTTTCATCACTCATTTGCTGTGACCTCTGCCTTGAAGGAAATGTTAGGGGAAGAGAAGGGTTGTCGGCTCTCCGTAGACAAGAAAGAATGGCACTCATGAGAGAGAAGCCATCACCGAGGGCGTGATGGAGCTTGAATATAAGGTTGCAAGCAGCGTTATTATTTCTTGTTGGGTAATTGAGGATATGAAGTTCCCATAAGGGTTTGTCTTGTGACAATCTTTCTAGTGCTAGCTTTGATATGTAGCCATCAAGATACTTTTCATATGATTCAGTTGATAAGTTAGAAGGAATAATAGGGACGCTAATGTGCTCTTCAAGCTTCACTTCAACCCTTTTCCACCGTTTCTTTCCATTGATTTCAACCTGCACGAATACTTTCCAAACAATTAGTAATACATTTTGAATATAGTAATGTGGGGGGGAGAGAGAGAGAGAGAGAGAGAGAGAGAGAGAGAATAGTACCACAATAGAGGAGAAGCGCGGGCTGATGGGGAGGAAGAGAGTCTTAAGTAATGAGATTGCTTGAGACTCACTCAGTGGATTTTCGAGTTCCATAACGCCAATATTTGATACGGACAGGACAGAGCTAGTGAAGTACTGAGCAGTAGGGCTCACTGGCTCCAGTACTACTACTTCATCTTCCTCCAAGTGCTCCATCTTAATTATACTATCAATTCTATAAATTCTCTGTGTTACCTAGCTAGTGTCCTGAGTTGGTAGCTAGGCAAGTAAGTAGAATTGGAATTATATATATAATTTCTTCATCGATCATTATGTTTTAACGCAAAGTCACCAGCTTGTGCTCGTGTTCAAGACGTGACTGCAATGCTTGTGCTCATGAGGTGGCGAATTTTCATCATTTCGTTTCTTTTCATATGTTAAACATGACTATCCTCCTACTGCTAATGAAATAGCAGCACTATCTGCATTGATTCATTTCCAAAGCAGAAGTTTTTGCTATCTATAAGGGCCCAAATGTATGTACACGTTAAGCCTCAGTTTTAGCTGATCATTTTCTTTCTGTGATTTTATCTACACCCCACAATTTGTTAAACATTCTCGCTATTGAAAATACACCAACTTTTTAGTTAAGGAATTATCTTAAAACACCCACATGCACGCCCTCCTTCTTCACTCAACTCCCTCATCGTCTCAAAAAACACGAACTCGTTTGGTTAAAAACAAAAAACACTAACTCGCCTTCACCACCAACAGTTTCGGTGGATACATGCCGAAACTTGCACAATTGTGATTGGTAGCTACTTAAAATGATTTTGTTACTAAGATGCTAAAGCACCATTTTGGTAGTTTCCTGCGAAAAATTAAATAGCTTTGGAAGAGATTAACCAAAATATCTTTACGTTTTCAGTCGCCATCTACTGAAAATTGTGCAGCGGTCATACTATGCGAATAGCAATATGATCATAATATCAAAATTGAAGTAAAATGGAGAACAAAAAGCTATTCCTGATGTGGAGCCCCAAAATAGTAAGTTTCGTATTTCATTGTCAACGTGTGTGAGTGTTCGTTTAGTGGTTTTTTTTTTTTTTTTGGTAAATTACACAGAACTACCTGAACTATGGGTCTAATGATACTATCATACCTCATCTTTTTAAAATGACAATGTCATACATCATTTTTAGAATTTGTTCTAATGTTATACATCCGTTAGTTTGTCCGTTAATTTCTTAGTTAAAAGCTAACGTGGCTTCATCCGAGGCCCAGTTCCTTGCCCAGGTAGATTCCACATGGCGCCACACCCAATGTTTTCCCGCCAAATGGCATCTAGCTAGAATTCCCAATACACATGGCTTTCTCACCGGATGACACATGGATATTCCATTAAAATTTAAATTTAAATTTAAAAAAATAAAAAAGCAAGAGAACGTTGTAAAGTGTGCCATTCGAATTCCTTTTTCCCCCCGATACACCCAAACCCTGTCGATCTAATTTCTTCCCCAATTCCAGAAAAAGAAGAACCCTAACCCTAGTTCTCATACCAGCAACTCCAAATCTCGAACAATCAGATTAGAAATTCAGCGAAAACCCCAAATCATCTTGCCGGCTTGCTTGCCTAATTTCGTTGGTGTTGGAAGGGGGTTCCATCTGGGTTCCATTGGCTTCGAAGAAAAATCAAAGGATTCAACATGGGTTGGTATGTGCGCGAGGATCCCGACGAAACAACACCTACCTATTGTAAGTATTTTTTTGTGCTTTTGATGATTCCAAATGCATACTAAACTTGTTTATTGGAATGGGTTGAATGCGGGTTTTGTTTATTCTTGTTCGAAAAAGTGGATTTATGCTTTGTGAATTCGAAATAATACCTAAGGTGTTGGATAAAGGGTTTGTAGCTTTGTTTATTCGAAATGGTTCCTAAGGTGTTGGATAATGGGTTTGTAGCTTTGTTTATTCTTGTTTGAAAAGTTGGTTTTATGCTTTCTTAATTCGAAATGGTTACTGAGTTGTTGGCTAATGAGTTTGCTGCTTTGTTTATTCTTGTCGGTATAAGGTGGTTTGTTGCTTTGTTTATTGTTGTCAAGATAAGGTGGTTTGTTGTGGTTTTTTTTTTGCTTATTGCTATGTTTATTCTTGTCGAGAAATGGTTACTGTGCTTTGGTTGTTTGCATATAGTGTGTTGGATTTGGCTTTTCTTAGTCATGTGCTTTGTTTTGTGAAGAATCTTGTGCATTGGTTTTTGTTGGCTTTTGATTAGGTTAAAATGCAATTGCTTTTGTTTTTGCCTTTTCTTAGTCATGTGCTTTGTTTATTGTTGGCTTTTAATTAGGGTTTGTTCTTGTGAATTTCAGTATATCCAGAACTATTCTCTATTGAATTGCATCATGATGGGGAGATAAGTTATGACCTCTATTCTAGGGGGAAAGTGACATATATAGATAACTGTGATAAAGACATCATGTCATTGCCGGTGATAGATGATATGGTGGAGGCAGTTGGATACAGTGAGCGGTTCATGAACTACTATTTCAAAATTCCCAACATGGACCTTTGCAATGGTTTGAAGCCGATTCAAAGTGATTCCGATGTTCAGACAATGTGTAACTTTGTTCCAAAAGATAAAGTGATTGAGATGTACATCGAAGAATTGACGACAAAAGAAGCCGTAACCCAAAAGCAATAATTTCTTAAGTCCATGGAAGTCACTGGTCCAAGTAAATTGGTAATTGAGGAGATAAGTAGTTCAGAGAGGGATGTTGGGCCAACACAACTTCAACCAATAAGATATAGGGGCTTGCTAGCTATTGAAGGGCCAGAAGTGGATGATTGTTGCACATCTCAACAGGGATTGTCAATCAACAGGGATGGACATTTATGAGTGATAAAGGGGTTAATTCCGGCCTCTCAAAAAGCCCTCCCTAATTCCCAGAACAGATTTTGCGTGAGACATTTGTATACCAACTTCAGAAATCTATTCAAGGGGAAAATTTTGAAGGATGCTTTATGGTCAATAACCAAAACAACAATAGTTCCCCACTTCAAAAAAGCAATGGAGGATATGAAGAAGCTAGATGAAAATGCCTATGATTGGTTGGTGAATAAGCATGCACATCATTGGAGCAAGTCCTATTTTGAAATATATCCCACGTGTGACATGTTGCCAAACAATCTCTGTGAAAGTTTCAATGCTATCATACTTGGGCCAAGATAAAAACCTATTGTCACAATGTTACTACTTATTCACACATTCTTAATGAAGAGAATTCAAATGAGAAGGGATATAATGGTGAACAAAGTTGGAGATCTCTGTCCTATTAAACGAAGCCAAAATTCAAAGTGCCAGGTGCATTGCAAAATGGTCAGGGGGCACTAAATTTCAAGTTGATGCTAGAGGGGGAAGTAATATGTGGTTGACTTGGTTGAGATGACCTATTCTTGCAGAAAGTATGGCTTGGCAGGAATCCCATGCAACCATGCAATAGCTGCCATCAATTTTAAGAGAGAGAAACCAAAGGACTATGTCGATACTTGTTATTCGAAGGCACGGTACTTTGAGGTGTATTCTCATTTAGTAATGTCGATGAATGGGATGTCTTTGCGGGAGGAAACCAAAAACCCACCAATATTACCTCCAACATATACAAGGCAATCTGGAAGGCCAAGGAAGAATAGAAACAAGGAAGCTACTGAGAGGGACAATAAGGGTGAACAAACTTCCACAAACCCAACCAAATAATCCTCAAGGTCCTCCTCAACCACTTAAGCTAGGAAGGAAAGGGCAAGGCAGTTTGAAATGTACCATATGCAAAAAGGAAGGTCATAATCCAAGAACCCATCATAGACATCTTCCTCCAAGGGACAAACAAGTAACATTTTCTACTTTGTGGTTTTTAAGCATCCACATATCAGACTGTTTATCCTTTAAATTGCTTTGTAAGCATCCACATCTACTCAGGTTTATGAATTTATGGATAATTAAGCAAGTTCTATGCATAATTTGGTCCATTTCATATTTTTCTTCGGAAATGATGAGTAGTTTGTGCTTGAATACACTAGTTTTGTTGTGGTTATATCATTATGTTTGGGTGAGATTTTTCAAATTTGAGGTCAAGGATGATAATCTGTTCTTAAAATGTTAGATCATCTTTTTCTCACTTTTTGGCGGGAAAGTGAACTTGAAATTTTAAATTTTTGAAATTCAAATTACAAAAAAAAAAAATCAAATAAATTTTCTGATGTGGATGCCATTTGGCGGGAAAACATTGGGTGTGGTGCCATGTGGAATCCATCTGGACGAGGAGTTGGGCCCCGGATCAAGCCACGTTAACTTTTAACTAAGAAATTCATGGATAAACTAACAGAGGTATAATATTGGAACAAATTCTAAAAATGAGGTATGACATTGTCATTTTTAAAAGATGAGGTATTACATTGTCATTTTTAAAAGATGAGGTATGATAGTGTCGTTCGATCTATAGTTGAGGTAGTTTTGTGTAATTTACCTTTTTTCTAATTAAAAAAAATTAGACCAGCTAGTGGCATCGCCACGACAGTTTATCTTTCTAGGGATCAAGAAGACTCACATAAACATTTCAACCCCTCTCTGGCCATCATCGTGCGATTCACCAATGCCAGGAATCGAACACAAAGCGTGCCGTGTGGAATACAAGCTTAGAATTTATTCTCGACCATTAGGACACCCTATGCGGTTGTGTTCATTTAGTGGTTAAGGTTACCTTGTTTAACAATGAAGGGTGAGTATGTTTGAGAGTTTGAAGAAAATGATATCTCATTTAAACTTTATGATAGGGGTAAAACTATTATTATAATTTGTACTTCAATTTAAGCCTATCATATTACATTTCATGTAGTGATTCTCTATAAAGGAATAACCTCCTTATATTATAAAAAAAAAAAAAAAAAAAAAAAAAAAAAATCCCAATATGGGCTAGTTATATATAGTATAACTCCAAGTTATAATTTTTCTACGTCTTTTTTTTCAAGGACATTGGAATCTCTCTGCCTAAGCTCGATCTCTCATCTGCACAGAAACAATTCATCCACTTTTGTAATCGATTAGATCTCTCTACCTCTCTCTTGATCTCTCCACATCTCTGTTTTCATTCTCAATTTCATTCGAATTCCACCATTTTTTTCGAATCACCATATAGGAGCCTTTTGAGGATGAAGGAATTTGGGCTATTGGGTTTTGGGCATCCCCTAGCATCAGCATTGGTGGGACTACTAGGTGCAAGCACTTCAACCAAATGGCCACTCTCAAGTTATTGCCAAATCTTGTTGCTGCGATGAAGAAATGCAGAGCGCATATGCTACAATGAGAGTAACAAGGAGTCTTTGAATGGTGACAGGAATATCTGGAGACTAGTCCGTGTGGTGTGTATGTGAGAGTTAATCATAGAGGTTTAAGGGTGCGGTTGTGCATGGTGTGATTGTTTATACCCGAGAGAGAGGGGCTCGAATCAATGGCGGTAATGGGGTTTCGAAGGAGCGGAGATATGGGAGGAAGGGCTCGGAAGCCAAGAATTGAGAAAGCCCTTCTCATCAATTAGTCGACTGTTTAGCTAAATATGAGTCAAATTGCAATTTGGAGTTACCCAGGGGGTAGACATGAGGGTGTCAGTAAACGGTCAGGGCCTTCGGGTGAGGAGCACGATATGGAAGCAAACGTGGTTGAACTGAACTTGTAGTCAGTGTTCGGTTTAAGAAGTAGTGATATTATCATTATTCAGTTTTATAAATAATTTAGTATCTATGTTTAGTTTCATAAACAGTGTATTACATGTGTTTCGTTTTATAAATTGTGTAGTAATCGTGCTCAGTTTCATAAATGTAGTACCCGCAACCTATTTCAAAAATAATGTAGTACTCATATTTAGTTTCAGAAATAGTCAGTGCTCGGCTTAAGAAATAGTGATAGTACCAATGTTCAGTTTCATAAATAGTGTAGTACCCGTGTTTATTTTCAAAAATAGTTAGTGTCTAGTTTAAAAAATAATGATAGTACTTGTGTTCAGTTCTAAAAATAGTGGTAACAACTTTTTAAACCCGCAACAATCTCAAACTGACTCTACAAATACCTTATATGAAATTTATATTAATTTTATTTTGATTTTATAAATATTTCAATATGCATTTCATCACAATTTTTTTTTTTTCAAAAAACATCGATATATTATTGAAAATCATAATAATGAAGTTTTGAATGAAATTAGGAGGTTTTTCGAAACAAATTAATTCATTGTCAATGGAAGCAGCAAACTAATTTTGATATGGTATTTTGAAATGGATGCACTTATCTTTATAGCCCTAATTATAATGCTAATAAATTAATAATTAAAATAATAATAATGGACTAAAATTTGGGGATGAAGGTTCTAGTTTTGTAGATTGCGGAGGAAGCGGTGGGGCGGTGCTGCCAATTTGGTACATGTCAAATTTGATCATCGATGACTCTAATTTAAATTCCATTCTTCTCACATTTTCATGCAGACATAAATTCAAATTTCTAATGGAATTGGACCGGCGGAACGGGGTTTCCGTCAAGGATAAGGACTGTCTGCCCTTCCACTTCTCACTCTCTTGTTTATATAGTTACGGTTAAACTACGTCAACATTTTATATTACTATTCATTTTTGTCTTATTATCTCTTTAAAAAAAACAATATAAAATGTTGACGTGGCTTAACCATGACCACACAAAACAAAAGGGCAAGAGAGGGCACAGGAAGTGTGAGGGCAGACAATCCTTGTCCTTCCGTCACGGGTATTAGTTGGAAAAATAGAATTTAGTTTTGCACATGGGCTTATTTCCTATTTATAAGGCTTTAGTTTTTGTCTTTATTATATTGTTTTTTGTCATTTTCATTAAATTTCAAGCCTTTTACCTTAAATAAAATTAGTGAATGATTTTTTGTTAAAACAAACTTGGCCCAAGTCTTCTTTATTAAAGTTCCCTAAATTGAGACCTTGCATGGCTATTACAATTAACAAGATGGGTAGAGAAAACCTTTCCACTACTAGCAGACAAGAGTTCATATTAATTAAATATCGACCAAATGATGAATTATCAACAACGTAACTTTAAAGAGATTTGAAAAATAATTTTGATTGTTTTTTTTTTATTACAAGCGATATTGTAGTCGACAAAGTTTAAAATCAAGACGAGCTAAAAAAAATAAAAAAGATTCTCTTCTTCCTAATTTTTTAAGATATGTTATTTACACATCTCTTTTTATTTTTTATATACCTCTTTTTAATTTCTGTTATTTGAACTTTTTTAATTATTCATATCTAACAGCCGAAAATTTAAAAATATATGGGAAATAATTTATCTTTTCAATAAAAAGGTGAACCGCCTGCCACGTATATGGAGTGTTTACTCGTTCGGCTGTGAAGCCTCCGATTCGCACCTCAAACACAAAGTCCATAAATAACACAACACAAAGTTGGATCAAAATATTGCAACCTAAAATCCAAAAAAAAATGGTCGAGAAAGACGACAACAAAACCGGGGAAATCGAGGAAACGGGCCCAAAATCCGACGGGTCTTCTCCGAACCCGAATCCCAAAACTGCGAGGACGAAGGTTCCAGAAGTGGAAGTCTGCCTGTATCGACGGGGAAAAGGCCCGATCGACACGTTCAAGTCGGGTCTGGGGGGTTGGGACCAGAACCAGTTGGAGGTCGGAGACATTCTCGACAAGTATGGATTCAAATCGCTTTACGCTTTCAATACCGAATCGGGTCGCGGGGTTCCGATCCGGTTTAACCCTAGAAACGGCAGGTCTATGCTGCCATATAGAGATGGAGCCACGGTTCAAATCGACGGAGAGCCTAAGGTAAAATTTCATAAGATTCTCCTTCTGTTATAACATGATTGCCAAAACCCAATTGATGAAATTAGTCAGATGAATTTTCTGTTTGGATGCCGAGAAAATTGTGTTGTAATCTTTTTTTTATTGAATTGTATTTAAATAAATTTACTTTTCATGTGTGAGAGAGATACATTAGTGTTTTTTGGTTTGGAGTCGTATATATTTTCAGTTGTCACCCTCAATTAGCAATATAGTAGCTCCTCCTACAATTAGAGGCTTTAGAATTAGATCAAGAGATATCAGCAACTTACTTGGTTGAATTCGAGCCATCGGTTTCAGTAGTTCGATTAGTTTTTCTTGCTACATTTCATTTGTGGCCTAAGCATGGAAGTAATTTTAATGCCCCCTACGCGAATCATCTTGTTGAGCTTTGATTGTTTGTTTGATAAACACCGGGTTTTACGACCACATATTCCTAAAAACTAGGATTTCGCATCGTTATTTTGGTCGATGCTTTGCCCATTTTTATGACGAGCAAATGTGCAATCACCCCACTTAAAGTGATTGGGTTTAGGCACCGTGCTAATAGCACTGCGCCACAACCTCGTGGCAGCGTTGTTAACCATAACATGAGTAGTTGCCCACTAAATCCATCTCTAGGATTTTAGTTCGTACCTTGTTTTTCATCTATTTCATGAGCAGTCAGTCAGGAATGAGGATCTGCTGACATTATTATATCTCTGTATCGTTTGTGTTTCCATCCTCCCATGTCCTTCCTATTACGAATACTGAAAGAGGAACAATTTGTACTCTCATTAAAGGAATGCTTGCAACTGTTTTATTTTTATTTTCCACAAGATTCTTTAGTTGCAGTTTTGTAGACAGCGGAATATTATATTGACATGTGAAATGTCTTTTGGTGCCAGTTTTGCTACTGAGTTCTTGTATGTTCAAATTCTCTTCATGCAGGATTCATTGATCCAACCGGTGACGAAAATCTTGATTGGAGTAGCTTTTATGACCATCCTGATAACCTTGGTTTTGAGGGATCCTCCGCAATGGATCCAGAAATTAAACTTTACTGGAGGTAACTTCCCTCCATGGATCATCGCTCTCGTGATCATAGTATTTACTCGAATGAGGAAGAGAACCAGGGATTTGCTGAAAAAGTTTGGTTGGTGAAAGGCGTCATTGATGCTCCTCTTCTAAGGTTCATTAGTTTTTCTTTCCAATTGCTCTCAAACTTTGTTAAAAATTGATTCATAATCACTGAAAGCTACTCTCCAGTATTTACTGAAGTTTGACAACAAAAAAAGCAACGCTCATCTGTGCATCGTCACTCATCCGCAAAAAGCTGTATGGGGATTAGACTTCGTCACAAGTATAATCCCCTACAAGACTTTGCGGATGTACACAAGGGGGCATTTTCCATAGTTTCCCACATTCATTTTATGTAGCTTCTGTAAAGAATCCAAGATTTTGTATGCTTGACTTCTAGAAGGATTGTGCATTTATTGATTTTGAACTGCTAGTAAGCTGGCAGTGGAGGTTGAAGACATTATTCGAAGGATTTGAAAAGCTTAATTATTTTATGGTATGTTGCAAAAGTGTATTCGTAACCTCGGAAAAGGATTAGCTCCGTCTACTGGGCGGTGTTCCCAGCCTGGAACCCGTCGGTTGTTGCCTAGCACTTGTTCTTTAGGTGGAGAGACGACTGCCTCTCTAACCATCAGGTGCTTCGGGAACTTGAGCCTCTCTGACATCACCTGCGGGACTCATTCCAACTCAACGAGACTGTAAAAAGCACTTTCCTAATGCATTAGGCAGGTATGAATATCAGGTTTATTTTCAGCGACTCCCGATGGAACTCAAGCTCGCTATGCCCCATTTCAATACATTCCGTCGAAGAATCGTTACAAGGCTTGTGTGGCAGGAATGTTAGAGTATCGTTATAATGACTTTATGGGGCAGCAATCTTCGGGGAAGTGTCGTCATTTCGCGAAGCCATTGTTTAATCCTCTCTAGCACGTAACGCAATTTACGTTCCAAAGATTATAAAGTCTATAAAAACAAGGAATTGAAGAAGTGAGGGAGGGTGGACAACCGAACCAACCAAGAATTTGTTAAAGTCGGAGGTTCCAAGTTTGTGTGAGGGGAGAGTTATTGCTGGCAATGATTGTTGGTTTTTGGTTTGATTACTAATAACAACACAGTTCAGATTGACAGGGTAGGCTATGTTATATTGTTATGTAGGTAATGTTGAGAGAAACTCTTTGTAACCAGACACCACGTGGCAAACATCTATTAAATGGCTGGTGTACATTCTGAATATGTAGCATTTGAAGTGAAGGGAGAATTGGATCTACTAGCCCTCCAGTCAACACGATACCTAAATTTTTAGGTATTTGGTTATGGAGTTTAAAGATAGGCTCACACTTTTTGATTTCTTGCACGTTAGTAATCCTTGGGAAAACTTTAGAAGTAAAACGACTCGCATGGTATATTTTAGTAAACACAAGAAACTCTAAAATCAAAATGATTCCAATTCTCATTCTTGTACGTAAACATGACCTAGCGTATAAACTAAACTAAAAATCTACATTGCGAAAGATGAATACCCATACTTGGGTTACATAGAAAACAAAAGTTGTAAAAATAATCAAAGATTAAGATCACATAAGTAACTCTACCCCATATATTAACTTTCAAAATTCCATGAAGTTGATTCTCTCACAAGTCAAAACTACAAGCATCGATTTCGTTTTCAAGGTCAAAGCAAAACTCACAGTGACTACTTTCCTTGGCGTTCCTCCGACAAAAACAGGGACTACTTTCCTCAAAATGGCAAAAGTCGAGCATCGCTAGACAACACAACTTAGTATACAACGTGTACAAACAATGGCTATGAAAGTATGAATCGGGACAACAAAACAATGAAAACTGGGCAAGCCAGATGAATTGCACTAATAAATTCAGCATGCACAGCCACCTCCTCCTCTTTGATCAGACTCTGAAACAGCATCAGGGATGCCCTGGAAATATCTGCAAGTTAAAGGAAAAAGGAACAATGATGAAAAAGGCAGGTTTAGAGGGTCATAAAACATCTCATACGAGCATACAGCAACAATAGCAGAAAGATAGATAGATACTGATACATTGTAGATACAAAGTTCGGTAAATTGTAAGGTAATCGGAAGTTCAGGACACAATAAGCCAATTGAAAGATTTTCGTGTTCTGAAGGACATTACATCAGCATCATATGCTTATTCTACAAAGATCAAATGCTCATCCTCTGATGCGAATGGTCAAACCAGGCTTTATCTACATAAAAAACTATTGTGACTAGTGAAACCAAGCTTTATTTAATAATACAACGACCATTCTTTCCCTAGAACATCTTAACTACGTTCTAACATGACCATTTCACTAGGTTTATATCCTTCATGTCATAAAAGTGAACTAGAAACTACCTTCATAGTGAAAACTAGCTATCATGTTCATTCTATCTAATTCTTGTCTATATAACAAAAATTAACCAAGAATATGACCCGACATTCTATATAGAATTGTCCATCTACTATGCAAACGGTTCCAAACGAGAGCTTAAGCTCATCTCCTGGATCTGGAGTAGCCCACGAACGTAAATATATCCTAAAATAGAACTTCGCTTACTCCAGAATATCAATAGAATAAATGAAAACAATATGTCAGCCCTCACTATGAACTTACATGTCCTGCTCATGTTCATTTGCAAGAGCAGTCTTTGCAATACAAAGAAATGCACCATCAACGTTGTAATCTTCTTTTGCTGATGTCTCAAAGTAAGGTATATTCCCCTTTGATGCACACCAGTCCTTTGCTTTCTTCTCAGACACCTGTAAAGATAATAATTAGATTATGTACATGGGCAAATCATGGACAGCACAGCGAATGTGTTTCCTTACCACACGACTGTTACCCCCATCAATATCAATCTTGTTACCAAGCAATATAAATGGAAATGTCTTGGGATCGGGAGGGTTTGCCTGGGTCAAAATTAGAATGGAAACAATGTAAGCATCAAAACAAAAAATGAGCATTTCTGAAATACAAAATTCAAATTACAGGGCTGTTAGTCAAACAGCTTAGGTATATATTTACAACTTTCATAACTCTTAAGAGACACCTTTATTAAACCACTGTGTTTTATCAATTAAATCAAATGACAACATAAAACAAGAAAATCATGTTAATTCATAAAAACAAACTGTTAAAAGGAATGTGTACAATTAAGGAAAAAAGAGAATGGCAACCTTACATAGCCACCCATGGAAAGGCAAGCACAAATGGAAAACTTGGAAACTTACTACTATCCGAGGCTCAACTATCCTCTCGTATCAAATACACCATAGAACATAAACAGAACAGCAGTTAGAAATTAGAATCACGCCGCTGTAGTGCTTTGCTCCAAGTTCAAATTTGACAGCTGAATAATGGACCCAAAAGTCCCATAACTTATCATTACAGATAAAATGGTAATTCATCTGGAAGAATTCTCTGCAAATTCTACAATTTTTTGGCTGAAGCAAGATTTGATGGATGGAAGTAAGATAAGCAACGTTCCTTCCTACATGGGAATTCCCTTCTTGCATACAAGAGAAAGGTACCAGGAAATGGAGTATTGATGGAATACCGATTGCTTTCGTACTTGGGAAGAAAAATACTTTTGCATTTGTCTCAAAAGCCAACGATAATAAGGAGACAAAAAGAGAATGGATCACAGAAAAAACTAAAACGTCAAAATTAGAATTGTATTTGTTTTTACTAAAAGACTCTTAATGTATTCTTTCTCCTTTTTTCTGGTTACCTCTCTCATTATACAAAAACAATAGAAAACACAAATATCATCAAGCCGGCTCTAAATAAAAACTAATTAGACATTAGACAAGTACTATGAAGTATTTCTAATCTCTAAACTAGTCTTCCCTGCCGCCATGCTCATTATTCAGTCTAGAAAACCCCCCTACCGAAAATTGTTATAACTTTAGCAGCTAGCCCAAGATAAAGCAAAGTACTTACTATTAATCAAAATGCAGTATGAAAAAGAAGTGATATAAAACTAGTATTACTTCTCTAAAGTAGTTATATTCCACTGTGCCAATGATGCCAATGTTTACTCGAGTTTTTTTTTTTTATGTCAAGGGAATTGTTATTAGTGTTCCAAATAGTTATCATGCACCCTTCTCCTTGATTTATTTCACTTGGGAGAAGTATATATGCCTTTTTTGGAGTGAAAATAACAGCTCCCTTCTGACGAACATATATCATTGCTTGAATATAGAATGACTAAGAAGCGCGATGTACAATTAACACCGTAGCCAGCCATCATCAGAAAACTGTCAAAGCCTAAATGCTAATGAGAAATCACACAGAACTTGATGTGTGTGTATTTGTGAACATTTACATAAGCAATTCCATATTGTGATACAATTGGCATGCTATGCCACCAGATAACAATAAGAACCACACCTCAGATCCTCAACATATGTTTCCAACTGATAATGGTCCTACTTGAGATTCTAACACAACAAAATCAGAATGGCATGATAAAGTTATGAGATAAATATATAAAGAATTGAGAAAGGCATGAATCAAACCTGCTTTAGAAACTCCTCATGCCAATTATCTAGAGTATCAAAGGACTTCATTACGTTGACATCATAAACAAGAACACAGCAATCTGCACCTCTGTAAAATGAAACTCCAAGACTCTGAAATCTTTCCTGCCCGGCTGTGTCCCAAATCTTCCAGACGAAAGAAAATAGAAAAACCCACACAAATTAGTCCCCGCAATTCCCACTACAATTACCCAAAATTATACTAAACAGAACACTGAAATACCGTTCAACCAGAAAACCCACTTGTAGAGTGACGAGCCTGTCATCGATTTGGAGTTCTTTTGTGACAAAATCGGCACCGATTGTAGCTTTATACTGCTGACTAAACTTCTTGTGCACATATCTAAGCCATCAGTTAAAGAACCACACAGTCTAACACCCACAAAAATACATAATTAAACTGATACCTCATTAATATAACATGCCTCATATAGCGATCATAAACAATATCAAGCCGATTAAACTTAATTTCACCCAAATTAATCAGATTTCTGAGATCGCACAATGAAAATTACACAAATCCAACACCGAAATTCAAAAAATAATTAGAAATAACGAAAATAATCTCACAGATGGTGAAGGATACTGGTTCATCAACGAGGTCTTGCCAACCCTAACAGAAGAAGAAACACAAAGTTAATCCCTAAAATAAACACAAAATCCAGATAACAACAATGGGTGGTTGTGGAATCAGAAACCCTAGGGGTGCAGAACGTTACCCACTGTCGCCGAGAACGATGACCTTGAGCAAGGTTCGTCTGCGCAACATGGCGGACGAATTTAAACTGATATGAATCGGAAAAAAGCGGAAACAAATCAACTTTTGGAACACTGCCAAGGCGATTGATTGGTGGATGTTTTTGAATTTTTCCTTTTCTCTTTCTCTTTCCAGGAACGGAAAGAATGAATGGGGAGAGAGAGAGGAAAGAGGAGAGAGGGACAGAGAAAAAAGGAGCGCCAAGTTCGATCGGTGTTTTTTTTTAGTTTTTTGGAATTATACTTATGTCCGAGTCGGCAGGACAGACAAGCAGCATATATTATTAAATATTTACGTGACAAAGCGAAGTGCCAGGTGACATTATAATAAGTTTAAGTTTCTTGGGTCCCACTTATCCGCACAACAAAAGTGGTCTCGGAGGGGCCCCATCATGGTCCGAAGATGTTAAGGGGAAATTTTATTAAGACCTCTTTGTTTTTTTTTTTTTTTGTTTTTTTTTAATTAAAATGGTTTCTAAGATTGTTATAATTATTCATTTTGACTTTTGAGGTTTAAAAATCGATATAAATGTTCATTGAGATTTTTAACTGTCAATCATTATGGTCGTTGTGAAAAATTATCATTAAACTAAAGAAACCACCTATCAAATGGAGGGGTTGACAAAAATTCCCTCAATTTAACAGAGATTTTCCATTGAATGACTAAAATGATTGACGGTGTATAATTTCAAGAACTACTACTTTAACGATGTTGAATTTCAAAAACCAGAGCGAGAAGTTATGCCAACTCTATGGGCCATTTTTTTTTCTAAAAAAACCTTTATTTTCTCTACGCTCCCGATTTATAATTGAGTAGTTTTATTAACGCCCACATCTATATGAAGGTGCCTCATAAGATTTTTCACTTGAACTTCCTCTTTCACCCCTGTTAATTAAGGTCAAAAGAAAGGGAAAAAAAACACAACCATCCAACTATATGATCGGATACATCCATTTAATTTCCATCTCTTCCCTGTGACTTCCACCATGTTGTCTCACAACTATTTTCTCTTTAAATCCAACCACCCAACCATTCCTCTTGTCAATCTTTTTAAAGCCAAACCACATCTCATCTCTCAGTCAAATAGCAATCATGGCCCACGCGCACATAAACAACTTCCTAGTTAACTTGGATAGGAAACCCGATCACCCTATTGTTAACTCTAGCATTTGTTTGGCTGGATTTCTTATAGTGGAGTGTCTTCCTCCTTGGAGCACTACTGTTGGCTTAATCAAGAGGTTCTGGGCTCCATATGGCGACCTCAAAGTCTCGGCTCGTACGAACACAACCTTTATCATCACTACACCCTCAGAGTCAACAGCCAATAGGGTCCTCAATGATGGGCCTTGGAATATAGCTAGAGACTGCCTTGCCATTCACAAGTTGCCACTGCACCTCACCTTTGAGGAAATACCAGCTTACTGGATCAACTACTGGGTTCAAATGCATGTTGTGCCTTTGGAGGATTTTTCCTCTGAAAATGCTAGTCTCTTTGCGAATCCTTTTAGGGAAGTCATTGATGTGGATGATCATCTTGCATACCCATATGGAATCCATGACTTTCGCCGAGTAAGGCTTAAAGTGGATGCAAGGAAACCTCTTTCTAATGGGTTCTGGCTTCAAAGAAGAGATGGTGGAAGAACAAGGGCGATGCTCAAATATGAATGCCTCTTAAATTTCTTTTTTCACTGCAAAAGACTTGGTCAATTCGACAAATACTGTGAGTATGAAGTGCCAAATGTCAACAACGAATATCCTTATTTAACTATTATGGTAGGGGAACAGGTCCGGCCACTAAGACTCACTTATGCTACTTCCTGCTCAAATAATTATGTGAGTAAGGGTGGAAAACGTTGGAACTCCACCCTAAAGAAGGGCCAGGGTCTTCCCTTGGTTCTAGAAACCCTTATACCAAAATCGTCGTTGGTTGGTGCTTCTGCTATTGTCCTCTCCACCATGACACATCGAGCAATTTTTTTGGGTGAACCCTTTCTGTCCCTCAGTCTGTCTCCTACTGAGCCATATGTCCCCCTGCCCCACCTGGCCAATGTAAGGTATGGCTACCCATATGGAGACCAACTCTAGTTTTTCTATGAACATGTCGGCATTTGACTTCCTGCAAAAAAAATATCCACCATCCATAAATATTTCCACTCTCAGCTGGCTTGCTAAGTTCTCTCACTCAACTATGACTTTTTTACCAACCTCAAAGTCAACACTTTTTACTCATTACACCCCAACTTCTGCTACCTCACCTAAGTCAACAACATATCTTCTTGAAGGGGATCATTTTCTATCTCAACGCCTTTACTCAAATGAGACTCTATCCATAATTTCCAGCCTTATGGGACTCTCCATCAGTAACAATCCACAACCGCCAACCCATGCCTTTTTCTCCAGAAACCTAAATGCTACTCCTATCATGAAAGTTGAGTCTCCTCTTGGACCGACCATATCCACCATTACTCAAAGTCTTCTAATGGAAATTTAGGAAAACCACCTTTGGATCCTATGCCTGTCAGGAATGCTTAGAAGAGAGAGGTCCCTACTTGTGAGGTGAACTCACGAACAAAAAAACAAAAAACTTTACTCTTGGAAAATCAACTTTCTCCCACTGTGGTACAAGAAACCAAGCTATCTAAGAATGCAAGATTGGCTACTTATGCTCGTGCTCGTGGTTGTCCTAACCCCCGTTGGGGCTGGGCTAGTCTCTCTCATATAGCAATAACTAAACCAACTACCTCGGTCGAAGATTCAAATAATATGGATACCATTGCTTTATCTCCTCACTCACCGAATGGGATTGACAACACCGCCCTCAAGGTGTGGAGAATCCTATCATTTTCCAGGGCACTGGTGGCTGGCTTGATGCAGCCATGGGGGATAAGTGATCTACCTAGCTTGGAACTATTAAGGGATTAGGTAAGACTTCACAGTGGATGCTCTTCGTGAGCAATTACGTATAAATAACCCATTAAATGGTTTTTTATCTAAAACAAAATGTAAGAATGATGTAGTCCAAAAAGTGGGACGTTCCTTGGGTTTTTGTATTTCATTTTTTATTCCTGCAGTATGTAGATCTAGTGGGTTATGCCTTTGGTGGAAAGATGGTACTACTATCTAAATCCTCTCAGCCAACAAATATGTCATTGATACATGTATCCAAGGGAAGTTGGCGACTACTCCTATCCATATCTCATGGTTTTATGGTCCTCCTCACAACCATCAAAAAGCTCTTGTTGACCTTGGGTACTGTGGCCCAATTTTCACATAGGAAAGAGATTGGGAGGAGTAGGGGAAGATTACGGAATGGTTGGATCAAGCTGTTACTAATCTTTTGTGGACAGAATGTTGGCCTGACATGGTGATATCCCACGACCCTTTAATTGGCTTCGATCATATGCCCTTAATTATTCAATATGCTCATGATGTTGCTCTTGATCCCCGTCCTTTCTCCCTTGAAGCTTTTTGGCTCAGGAATTCTGAGTTTCTTAGTGTTGTAAAAAAAGCTTGGAATGATAATATAAATAATTACCTTGGGTATGCCTTGTCTAATAAGTTATCTCATTGTTCTCGAATGTTGTCATCTTAGAGCAAAAAAATTCTCTAACAACATAACAACTATAAATAAGTTGCTCAAAGTTCTCAAAGTAATGACTTTCAGCCTCATGCCGGCACTAAACGTGAGGTTCACTTAACAACCACTAAGAAGTTGGGGGAGGTTTGGAGAAATGAAGAACTCTATTGGCTCCAGAGATTGCATATTAACGGGTTGCGTGATGGAGACAAAAATACTGCCTTTTTCCACCGCTCAGCAATCCAGCACCACCAAAGAAATCACATTCTAAAGCTTAAAGATTTTGAAGATGTTTGGTTGGAAGAAGATGGTCAGATTAGAAATCACATTAACGCCTATTTTAAGACATTCTTCTTGCCTGCCCTTGCGAGTCTTAAGTAGGTGGTTACTCCTTAAATTAATGCCAATCTTCTCATGCCCTTCACCCTAGAGTAGATCAAATTTGCAGTGTTCGAATGTGAGGTCTTAAAGCTGCAGGTCCTGATGGTTTCCATGGAAATTTTTACCACACTTGTTGGGAGGTTGTTAATAATATTATCTTTAAGAGATGAACTATACCAATATCGTCTTTATTCCCAAGGTGGAAGTGCCTGAGTCTATCTCTCAATTCCATCTTATCAACCTCTGTAACTTTGCGTACAAGATCTTTTCCAAGTTGATGACAAATCGGTTAAAACCCTATCTTCCAAGCCTCATCTCTCACCACCAGAGTGCTTTCGTCCCGGGACATCAAATTCAAAACAATATTTTTGTTGCTCATGAGGCTTTCCATTATCTGAAGCACAAAAATTAATTCGAAATTTTGAGTTGGGTCTTAAAGTTGATATGAACAAGGCCTACGATCGTGTTGAATGGGACTTTCTGGAAGCAGTGCTACTTTGGTTGGGATTTCAAACAAGATGGGTTTCTATGGTTATAATTTGCGTAAGAACGGTCTCATTTTCTATCACTTTCAATGGCAAGTGTGGGAAGAAGTTTATTCCTTCTAGAGGACTACATCAGGGTGACCCATTTTCTCTTTACCTATTTCTCTTTATCATTGAGGCTTTTTCATCCCTGATTGCTGATCATTGCGAGGTAGGTGCTTTGTTTGGTATTTCTCTCGCCCCTTCTTGCCTGATGTTCTCTTACTTGTTTTTCGCAGATGACTCGTTTTTCTTCATTATGGCTAATTAGGATAATTACAATGCTCTGCTGAGAATTTTGGATTTGTATTGTGCGGCGTTTGGCCAAACTATTAATCTTCAGAAATCTTCCATTTTCTTCTCGGCAAATATTCCCCAGATTGTCATTAACGATGCATGTACTTTATTCAATATTCCTCAAACCTCAGACTAGGGGAAATATCTTGGCTTGCCTACCGTGTAGGGGCGGTCTAAAAAAAAAGCTTACTTTTTTGTTAAAGTGTGAATCGCTCTCAAGATTCATAGTTGAAAATCGACATCATTATCTTTAGTTGTTCATGAAGTTTTTATTAAAGTTGATGCCACAGCATTCCTACCTATCATATGAATTGTTTCTTGTTCTCAGCCACTTTCTACCACGATATTGATGCCTTTCTAGTTAGAGGGAGAATAAGCGTAAGATTCATTTGCGAAATTGGCCGGCTATGTGTGCCTCTAAGTCTGCGGGTGGTCTTGGATTCCGG